ATATATATATATATATATATATATATATATATATATATATATATATATATGTTTATAATAAATTATATGTGACATTGATTATAAAAGGAAACTGAGTAAAAAATTTTGGAAAATTGATTATATTATTTATTTAGTGTTACATTGATCTATAAAGTCAAAATAGCTCAAAATAAATAATCATAAAAGCATATGATTTTTATAATCACTGGAAGATATAAATGTTATACATATATGCATTACAGTTTAATTTGTGAATATTATACATAATATTTCGTAATATGTACGTAAAATTATATATAAAGTTCCAGCTTAAAAGTAACTTTGTAGCAAGATAGCTAAAAAACAAAAATTTCATGCTTTGTTTAAAAAAATTAAAATGTTTATTTTTAATTTGTTTTAAACATAATAATAAAGAAATAGTAACATCTTCAACACTGCTAGTCAATTTATTTAATAAAAGCCTCTCTTAGAAAGCAACAGTCAAAAGCAAGAAATAAACGTTTAAATAATGAATTAAGCGAGTAACAGCAAACTATAAAGTAATACAACTCTATTATGAAATAATTTTCACGATCGCGACACGTACGGTACATTTATTAATTTCTTTTCGCAGGAACAAGCAGTAATAATATAGAAAGACACCTTTTGTATCCTAAATATGGCATATGAGATTGGTTATTCAGAATAATTGGCTTTAGATTATTTTCAGAAGAATACGCATAAAAGAGTGATAATAACGTAGTTATAATAGTTACAGAGAAATAATCTTGTACAAATTTTTGTTTCCTGTGGTGCTTATTCATATCCAACCGTTCGGATATCTCTACTAACGATCGATTACAATTTCCTTGCTAAAAAAATACTGGAATGTATTTCAACAAGGACTCTAACACGTTCGAAAAGAATTTAGAAATATTCTCGTTTAGCCAATTGTTTATCCTTTGCTCACATATCGAAATCGTGTGGGAATAAGTTTCAATTAAAAATATTTTTCAACCTCTTTACATATTTATATTCCCCTAAATTTTCTTCCTTGTTTGTCTGCACTTTCGTTGTGCTTTTTAATTCGTACTTACAATTTTCTGCGTTATTTTTAAGCATATTACTAATGTCCGTCATATTTAAAGTCATGGCAGAAGAACTTCTCTATGCAATGAGAGACGACGCAAACTGCGCGATACTCTTTGCATGAAGTACTGTGCGGAACGCGCTAAACATTGCACACAGAATTGCACACAGAATTGCGCAAAAGTGCATATCGACGCATACGTATAATTACGGATCGTGTATAACAAACAACTCTGATAAAAACTTGGAGTTTGAGATTTCATTTTTTTATTCATTATGCATATATTATGCGTCAATAATATGTCAGAATATAATGTGTTGAATTGAAGTGTCTATAATCATATAAATTTTATGTTTCGTAAATAAAACAAAAAAACGTTCAAGAAGTATCAATCACAGATTAATAACAAAAAAAGCACAAAATTGCGGTATCAGTGTAAAACTTTCTGAGAAATAAAAAATATATTTTTATAAATATTAAGGAATCGATAAGTTACTCAAGTTACTAAACTCAGACTGACTTGTTTATTCATTGTGAATCAAGTGATATGACAACGAATGCAAAAATCTATTCCGATGAAGTATGCCAGATACTAAACTATGTTAAGAAACAGACTATTTTACAACTTTTTTATGATTAAAATTTATTTTATAAAATAATTTCTTGTGTTAAAATAATAATAAAAATAAAAATAAAAAAACATTAACTTAACCTTTCGATATTTTATTATAAAATTGCATTTTTTATGAAATTAAGTAAAAAAAAAACAAAAATTATAAAATACACGTCCAATTAAGTAACTTTTAATTTCCTGCAAAATTTATAAAATGTAATGATTTTCCGGCTACCTGTTCGATTGTCAGGCATTCTCTATCTTACCACTTATCAATAACAAACTACCTACGATATGAAAACATCATAAACGAAACAAGACGATGTAAAAACAAACGCTCGGCGCAAGCTGTAGATTTCAGTTAACGACGAGTCGGCAAACCAATAAGAGTGTATGATCATTCGAGGAGAACGAAGAGACCGTAATACTAATTGTAAGTGGAAATACCAAAAACGTGGAAGAGTGAAGCAGATAAAGTTCATCGTTAACTACACACCGACGAAATGGTATTTATCGACTAAAATGTTTGATATTTAAAAATTATAAAAAAATAAGCAATAAGCAAACAAGATTTTTCAACAATAAAAAAAATGTTTATAAATAAATAACAATAAAAAGAAAATACAGGATTTGAAGCCGACGAAAGTTGTTTAATGCTTATATTACATTCTTCTTGGTATTAAAACAATAATTGATTAACATTCTTCTTTTCCGTTAACAATGAATTGTCTAATAAACAATTAACTTACCAGTATTTCACGTCACTTTCTCGCATTCTCGAAGCTTGAGCTCAATATATAAACATATTTGGTCAACTACCTTTCGTATGTTATATTATATTTTATATTATACTTCATATTATTATTGAAGATGGTCAGATACTGACCGAAACGTTTAATAATTTAATAATTCGGTAAAAAAGAATGTTAATTGATCATTGTTTTAACATCATGAAGAATGAAATAGAAACATTATACAACTTGCGGCTCAAAATCCTCTATTGTTTTCTTATTGTTATTTGTCTTTATGTAATACGAACTAATATATATCAAAATATTTAAAAAATCAAAATTAACTATATATCACGCAAATTAATGTGATTCCAGAGCAATATAATGAAAATGTTAATAAGCGGCGCTGCAATTGTGGCGACCGTCATAGTAGGATATAAAGTTATTAAATCTACGATGAAAAGGAATCTTCCCTTCCGCAAACAAATAAGTGAAAAAATACAACAAGAAATATGGCGCGATAATGACATAGCTTATCCTACTTTACGTAATCCGCATTGGAAAAAAATTGGTAAAGTAAATGGTTTATTTATTAGTCCAGTGAAATCGAGTAAAATGTTATTGGCTTGTGATTCATTAGATTTTCGTGATTATGGAATGGGTACACGAAAATACAAAACATATCTTTGGGACGGGTGAGTATAAAATCCTGTCTCTTTACTTAAATAGCACTTTAAAATAACAAAACTTTCCAAATCCAAGCAGAAAAAAATAAACTAGCATAAAGTGTTATTGTACAAATCATTCAACTATGTTCCCATTTAAATAACTTATACGGAAAGGAACTTTTTATTAAACAATAAACTGAATATAATTAAATTATTTACTCTGTGTTATTAGAATGTTCATAATATATAACAAAACGAAAGATAAATTCGAAGATAGCCGAACATATTCTTTATTGGAAACAATGATAGCGGTATCGGGACCGAACGACACTGGCGAAGTGATGATAACTGACAAGAAAAGGACCAGTGCAGTAACGTTTAATACAAAGCAATATCGTAATTCTTCCAATCGTTTCATAAAGGAGACATGGAATGGAACAAAGGCATTTTATGGTTCAAATCGAGACATTAATACATGGTTAAAAGAGTAAGTGTTTTCCAGTCATCTCTATTAACGCTTATAATTCTTGTATCTGAATACTAAGAAATAAAAATGTAGTAAGATAAAAGCTAATGACATAAACGGGGCTGACGAAGATATATATTTGACACAAACCATTCCGCATGATTGGGATTCGACACGAGAAATAAAAGACAATTGGTTTCGCTTTGTTGAAGGGTATAAATCTGTTGAAAAAGATGAAACGGTAATTAACACAATTAAGTATTATTTAAAATTATTAAGTGAATATTAATGATATTTAATTAATAACAAGTATTGATAAAATAAGATCACTGATTTCTATCAGTTTTTCTGCGCACAAATAAGTTTGTTACATAAATCACTAAAAGCAAATGACTAAATTAAAAACCAGAAAATAAATTTTCAAAATATAAAATATAGAGTTTACAATACGCACTGTGTCGTAATTGCTAGAATATAATTAAATATATGTTCATTTTTTGCTGTTAATTTTCTAAAAACAGAGTACAATCATTAAGACATTGCAATTGATTTTTATACAATTGATTTATGACATAAATATAAACTAGTATAAACACATGCAATAAACATAATGTTTTGATAGAAGTGTTGCTAGAAATGTTCTTTCAGCATTAAAAAATATGAAATAATATTAAGATTGTTAAGCTTATTTGAATCAATACTGTTTTGATATACAGTCTGTTAAGTAAGAGCGTACCAGGGTTAATTTATAAAAAAAATGTATTTAAAAAATTTTTAAACATATATACATTTATCTTGATGAGGACTACAACGCAATTCTCTCAATAATGCGTCCAGTCACCACCGGCGTCGATAATCGCCTGGCATCTTCGAGGCATACTTTCGACTAAATTGATGGCGTACTGTAGCGGCAAGGCCTTCCAAATTTGACGAATGTTGCGAGATAGCTGCTTTGCGGTATATGTGCGTTTTCCTCGAAGTCTGTACTTAATATATGCCCACACATTTTCGATTGGATTGGCATCGGGCGACTGCGACGGCCAATCCAATGTAACGATGCCAGATTGCTCCTTCCACTCGGTACAGAGCTTGCTTCGATGTTTTGGATCGTTGTCCTCCTGCAGAATCCAGTCCTCATTTTTATTAATAAACCAACGTTCGGCAGACGGTAACAAAGCCTTTTCGTAAATTCCCAGCATTTTCTTGGCATTCAGATTGTCGGTAAACAGATGCAAAGCGCCGAATCCTTGTTTTGAGAAGCAACCCCAAAGATGCACTTTTATTCCGTGTTTAACGGTTCGCTCGACATATCTATTGGTGGAGGTTGACCAAGTTTGTTTGAAGCTACTACGTGCTCATATAGAACATTCGTCAGTAAAAATTATGTTACTGAAATCTCGGTCGATGTTTTCGTGCGCCCAAGCGAGTCGCTTTTTCACATGTTTTTCACTTAACAAAGGTTTCTTTATTGTGCTGCGCCATTTCATGTCATGAGCACGGAGATGAGTTCGAATAGTTACATACGATATATATAAACCTTTTTGCTTCAATTTTGCTTGTCCTTGACGCAGTGTTAAGCCAGGATTCCGCGAAAACAGATCAACGATCATTTTATCACCTTTTTTGTCCACTTTGCCTTTTGAGCCACGTTCCGGTAAATCATCCACATTTTTTGTGACTTTATATCGCAGAATCCACTTCTTCACAAATGTTCTTGACTTTTTAATATATTTAGCAGCCGCTGATTGCGACATTTTTGGACCTTTTGGGTGAATGCACAGAAACACAGCCTCGTAGCGCTTTGCGTATTTGGCACTCATGGCGCTTAGCGTGTTTTTCTTACAAAAGATCAACAACAACTAAATCTTTTCTAAAATGCGCCAAGGACAAAGGTTTGCTCTATCAATTCACATAAGATTTAGAATAATATTTTTTACCGATTGTGAATAAGGTTTGGCACGCTCTTATTTAACTGACTGTATGACAATAAAAAATTTCCACAAAATAATAAAATATTTCTGTAGGGAAAATTCATAACTTTACCACATTTTGTATTAATCACAAAACGAACGGGTATACGAACGGGTATACAAATGCACAAAAATATAGATAAATCGCCAAATATTATCGTTGATATTGACGAATGGATAAATGTTTTTGAAGAGCAAAGCTGGGATTGGATAAAAATCGGTAACGATGTAATTCTCAGAAATGTCAAACCGAGGTATTTGCATGCAATTACATAATTAATTATATCTTTATTTTTATAGTTATGCTTGTGTTTATTACCCAATTTTTAGTAAAAGAGTTTAAAATATAAGCTTTAAATATTTAGGATAGTGGTAAAAAGCTTGACAAATCATGTAAAAAAGATACTCTGCTTAAAAATTTCCAACCTTTGACAAATTAATTGAAAATTTTGACACATTATCATAAAATCACTTGTTACTCTTTAATCGCATTTAACAAAATGTATTTTAATATGCAAAATTTTCAATTAATTTTATTTTATTTGCGATATTATTTTTGCAATAATTCTCTACTCATTTGTTCTTTTCATTACTTATTATTTTATCTTTAAATTAGTTAAACGTGTTTTATTTTCTATGTTCAGCCATGAGGGAGAGTTCCCACATTTTAGAATAAATTGTGGTTTATGGTCTGGTGGAAACGTCAAGGTGAATGATGAAGTATTTATTTACTCTCCTGATATATAGCAGGTGTAAAACTAATATTCTTCAAACATTTGACGTTTACTTGTCTTAATAGTTTAATGTTAAGGTTAACTTTAGTTTATTGATAGAGATAAGTATAGATAAATCGCTTTAGTGTTTTATATTTTAATGACGATTTTAATGACGGATTATTTTATACTTTTATATATAGAACACTCTGATATTTTTGTAGAAATATGTTTTACTTGCTTGCAAAACATTTTCCTCAGTGCTAGATATATAATTTATCATTTGTGATTGAATTTGAGACGGATATTATATATGATTTTGTGTAGTAAATAATATTTGTAAATTTAATACATGTACAAATTATTCATGTATAGAAGTGTTTATAACATTATACATATTACGTGGCATTGATTACAGAACTAAATTAGCCAAAAATGTTGAAAAGTTGATTTTATTATTTATTTTGTGATATCGATATATGAAATTAAAATATGTACAAAATAAATAATAATAAAAATATATGATTTTTATAATCACCAACAAATATAAACGTTATACGTATATGTATTGCACTTTTATTTGTGAATATTATAAATACAATCATATATAAAGTGTCAATTTAAATTTGGCATAAAAAAAACTAAAAAATTATAGTTCAAAAATTCCATGTTTTATTAAATAAAATGTTTATTTTAAATTTGTTTTCAATGTAACAATAATGTAATAAAGAAATAATATATTTAACATTTAGTTAACTTATATTGTTAATTTATACTTACTAGTTTTACTTATTTTTCTGTAATGGACCATTGAATTTTTGAGTTTTTGTAATAATTATCATTTTAAAATAATAATTATTGTAGAAATTAAAGATAAATTATATATTTGAGCAGATACTTAGCTAAACAAAATTTACTGCAAAATGTAGGTAAATATTTATTATACTTTCTCGTTATGCATTTATAAGTTATTCACTTCTGTTTCCTTGATATGTAAGAGCGATAACAAGTGTTATTTTATAAAACGTAATAAAAAATAAGTGTTACAATATAAGTGTTATAATAAGTGTTATAATAAATGATAAAATAACGTAATAATAAAACATTTACACAATCGCAGAAGTAATCAGCGTTGTAGCATTTGCAAAATTATAATTATCAAGATTAAAAAACATGTATTATTATGTATAAATTAAATATAAAATTAAAATATTATTATTCAATATCTACCAGGTCTAATTTTAATATCTTTAAGTTTAATTTTTAAGAATTTTTTTGACTAATTTCAACGCTATATTCTTTCTTGATACATTTTTGATTACTTCGATATACTCTTAAAAATTCAAACACTTAAAACTGTCTATAAGACTGACTGAATTGTTTTATAACAGCTGAGAATATAATTGAACAATGTAAGAAATATAAAATATCACTTTTGCTATTTAAAATTCAACGAAGAATATGTTTTTGTTCACATTTAATTACATATTTTGAACATTTTGTATAACTTATTAATTTTTGCAGATACAATATCACGGGTATCATTGTTGCTTCTCTCGTTTTTGCATAAAATAAGTTCTCTATAATTAAAATAACGTAAACTGCATATATGTATAACCACTGTTTGTCACGTCAAAGAAAATTAAATATGCATTTAGATATGCATTATTAAAATTGTCTGCTCCTCTTTGCTGTCTTTGATTCTCTTTCTCACTCTAGAAGTGAATTCACGAAATGTATACAATTGTGTTATAACAATTGTGTTTAAATGTTTTTTTCCAAAAATTAAAAAAATTTATCTTTCTTCTAATTGAAAAATTTTTAACTTACTCAATAGGTCTTTACAATGCTATACACAACACGTGACAATATTCTTCAAAATATATTAAGTTCTATATAATGCGTTTAAAAATCATATATTAGAACATAACTATATCTTCAAAAATTATCAATAATTACGACAAAGAGTAATTTTATATTTTAATTTCTCAAAAATAATTTAAAAATATAATCAAATGAGTTACCAAAAAAACATATTACAAATTAAAAATTAATTTTTTTAGAAAAAAAAATGTTTAATATGACTGTATAAAAACAATCCTATAATTATTTAACTCTTTGTTGAAAATATGGTATTACAGCGTTTCACAGTTTTAATTTTAATTTAATTTATCATGAAAGAACACCGAATGTACAATACTGATATCTGAAATACAGCTGGTAGCGGATAGAAAAAATTTATATTATAGGAAAAAACGGAGAAAAATGTTCTATATCAAATAAGATACCGTAAATGCTCTAAAAAATACGAACTTGCGTAATATTTTTAATTTCCTGTGAAATTTATAAAATGTAATATAACGATTTTCCAGCCATACATTAAATTGTCAGATACTCTGTCTCATCGAACCTCATATCAATAACAAACTAGCAAAAAAATGAAAACATCATAAACGAAGCAAGGCAATGTAAGAACAAACGCTTGGTTCAAGCTGCTTCAGTTTGCGGTGAGTCGGCAAACCGAGAGGAGTGTATAATCATTTGTTAAATAAGATTAATAAATTCCTCATACGAAGAGAAAATAATACTAATTGAAAAAGTGAAACGAATAAAATTTATCGTTAACTACACACCGACAAAATGGTATTTATCGACTAAAATATTTAGATATTTGAAAATTTTAAATAGATAAGCAATATGCAAATAAGATTTTTCAATAATTGAAAAAATTTTTATAAATAAATAACAATAAAAAGACAATACAGGATTTAAAACCGACGAAAGTTGTTTAATGCTTATATTACATTCTTCTTGGTATTAAAACAATGATTGATTAACATTCTTCTTTTCCGTTAAATAAAATGTCCAATATAAATGTCCAAAATAAATTGTCCAATAAACAATTAACTTACCAGTATTTCACGTCACTTTCTCGCATTCTCGAAGCTTGAGCTCAATATATAAACATATTTGGTCAACTACCTTTCGTATGTTATATTATATTTTATATTATACTTCATATTATTATTGAAGATGGTCAGATACTAACCGAAACGTTTAATAATTTAATAATTCGTGTCATCGGTAAAAAAGAATGTTAATCAATCATTGTTTTAACATCATGAAGAATGAAATAGAAACATTATACAACTTGCGGCTCGAAATCCTCTATTGTTTTCTTATGTTATTTGTCTTTATGTAATACGAACTAATATCAAAATATTTAAAAAATCAAAATTAACTATATATCACGCAAATTAATGTGATTCCAGAGCAATATAATGAAAATGTTAATGAGCGGCGCTGCAATTGTGGCGACCGTCATGGTAGGATATAAAGTTATTAAATCTACGATGAAAAAGAATCTTCCCTTCCGCAAACAAGCAAGTGAAAAAATACAACAAGGAATATGGCGCGATAATGACATAGCTTATCCTACTTTACATAGTCCGCATTGGAAAAAAATTGGTAAAGTAAATGGTTTACGAATAAATTCACTAAAATCGGGTACAGGGGCACTGATTTGTGATTCGTCGGATTTTCGTGATTACGGAATGTGTACACGGGTATTCGAGACATACTTTTGGGACGGGTAAGTACAAAATCCTGTCTTTTTACTTACAAAAAACGTTTTGAAATAATAAAACTTTCCAAATCCAAGCAAAAAAAGATAAACTAGCATAAAGTGTTATTGTACAAATCATTCAACTATGTTCCCATTTAAATAACTTATATGGAAAAGAACTTTTTATTAAACAATAAACTGAATATAATTAAATTATTTACTCTGTGTTATTAGAATGTTCTTAATATACAACAAAACAAAAGGTAAATTCGAAGATGGCCGAACATATTCTTTATTGCAAAAAATAAGGACGAGAATAAGAAGCACTGACTACTTCGTGCTTACTAGCCACAAAATGGGCAATCAAGTAGACTTTAATACAAAGCAATCTCGTAATCGTTCCAATCGTTTCATGAAGGAGACATGGACTGGAACTTCAAAAGCATTTTATGGTTCAAATCAAGACATTAATACATGGTTAAAAGAGTAAGTGTTTTCCAGTGATCTCTATTAACCCTTATAATTCTTGTATCTAAATACTAAAAAATAAAAATGTAGCAACTTAGAAGCTAATGAGATAAACGGGGCTGATGAAGATATAATTTTGACACAAACCATTCCGTATGATTGGGATTCGACACAAGAAATAAAAGACAATTGGTTTCGCTTTGTTGAAGGGTATAAATCTGTTGAAAAAGATGAAACGGTAATTAACACAATTAAGTATTATTTAACATTATTAAGTAAGTATTAATGATATTTAATTAATAACAAGTATTGATAAAATAAGATCACTGATTTCTATCAGTTTTTCTGCGCACAAATAAGTTTGTTACATAAATCACTAAAAACAAATGACTAAATTAAAAACCAGAAAATAAATTTTCAAAATATAAAATATAGAGTTTACAATACGCACTGTGTCATAATTGCTAGAATATAATTAAATATATGTTCATTTTTTGCTGTTAATTTTCTAAAAACAGAGTACAATCATTAAGACATTGCAATTGATTTTTATACAATTGATTTATGACATAAATATAAACTAGTATAAACACATGCAATAAACATAATGTTCTGATAAAAGTGTTGCTAGAAATGTTCTTTCAGCATTAAAAAATATGAAATGATATTAAGATTGTTAAGCTTATTTGAATTAATACTGTTTTGATATTTTGTAATAAAATATTTCCACAAAAAAATAAAATATTTCTGTAGGGAAAATTCATAACTTTACCACGTTTTGTATTAATAACAATGAAAACGGATACAGAATTAAGCATGAAAAATATAATTACAAGGCCAAATATTATCGTTGACACTGGCAAAGAATCGATAAGTATTTTTGAAGAGGAAAGCTGGGATTGGATAAAAATCGGTAACGATGTAATTCTCAGAAATGTCAAACCAGTTCCGAGGTATTTGCATGCAATTACATAATTAATTGCATCTTTATTTTTATAGTTATGCTTGTGTTTATTACCCAATTTTTAGTAAAAGAGTTTAAAATATAAGGTTTAAATAATAAGGACAGTTATAAAAAACTTGACGAATCATGTAAAAAAGATGCTCTGCTTAAAAATTTTTAACCATTGACAAATTCATTTTAAATTTTGACACATTATCATAAAACTACTTGTTACTCTTTAATCGCATTAAACAAAATGTTTTTTAAAATGAAAAATATTCAATTACTTTACTTTTATTTGCGATATTATTTTTACAATAATTCTCTACTCATTTGTTCTTTTCATTACTTATTATTTTATCTTTAAATTAATTAAACGTGTTTTATTTTCTATGTTCAGCCATGAGAGAGAGTTCCCACATTTTGGAATATATTGTGGTTTATGGTCTGGTGGAAACGTCAAGCTGGACGATGAAGTATTTATTTACTCTCCTGATATATAGCAGGTGTAAAACTAATATTCTTCAAACATTTGACGTTTACTTGTCTTAATAGTTTAATGTTAAGGTTAATTTCACTTTATTGATAGAGATAAGTATAGATAAATCGCTTGAGTGTTTTGCATTTTAATGACGATTTTATTGACGGATTATCTTTTATCTATAGTTATCTATAGATATACTTTTATATATAGAACACTCTGATATTTTTATAAAAATATGTTTTACTTGCTTGCAAAACATTTTCCTTAGTGCTAGATATATAATTTATCATTTGTGATTGAATTTGAGACGGATATTATATATATGATTTTGTGTAGTAAATAATATTTGTAAATTTAACACATGTACAAATTATTCATGTATAGATGTGTTTATAACATTATACATGGCATATTACGTGGCATTGGTTACAGAACTAAATTAGCCAAAAATGTTGAAAAGTTGATTTTATTATTTATTTTGTGATATCGATATATGAAATTGAAATATGTACAAAATAAATAATAATAAAAATATATGATTTTTATAATCACCAACAAATATAAACGTTATACGTACGTGCATTGCACTTTTATTTGTGAATATTATAAATACAATCATATATAAAGTGTCAGTTTAAATTTGGTATCAAAAAAACTGAAAAATTATAGCTCAAAAATTCCATGTTTTATTAAATAAAATGTTTATTTTAAATTTGTTTTCAATGTAACAATAATGTAATAAGGAAATAATATATTTAACATGTAGTTAACTTATATTGTTAATTTATACTTTCTAGTTTTACTTATTTTTCTGTAATAGACCATTGAATTTTTAAGTTTTTGTAATAATTATCATTTTAAAATAATAATTATTGTAGAAATTAAAGATAAATTATATATTTCAGCACATATTTAGCTAAACAAAATTTACTGCAAAATGTAGGTAAATATTTATTATACTTTCTCGTTATGCATTTATAAGTTATTCACTTCTGTTTCCTTGATATGTAAGAGCGATAACAAGTGTTATTTTATAAAACGTAATAAAAAATAAGTGTTACAATATAAGTGTTATAATAAATGATAAAATAACGTAATAATAAAACATTTACACAATCGCAGAAGTAATCAGCGTTGTAGCATTTGCAAAATTAAGATTATCAAGATTAAAAAACATGTATTATTATGTATAAATTAAATATAAAATTAAAATATTATTATTCAATTTCTACCATGTCTAATTTTAATATCTTTAATTTTAATTTTAAGAATTTTTGACTAATTTCAACGCTATATTCTTTCTTGATACATTTTTGATTACTTCGATATACTCTTAAAACTTCAAACACTTAAAACTGTCTATAAGACTGACTGAATTGTTTTATAACAGCTGAGAATATAATTGAACAATGTAAGAAATATAAAATATCACTTTTGCTATTTAAAATTCAACGAAGAATATGTTTTTGTTCACATTTAATTACATATTTTGAACATTTTGTATAACTTATTAATTTTTGCAGATACAATATCACGGGTATCATTGTTGCTTCTCTCATTTTGCATAAAATAAGTTCTCTATAATTAAAATAACGTAAACTGCATATATGTATAACCACTGTTTGTCACGTCAAAGAAAATTAAATATGCATTTAGATATGCATTATTAAAATTGTCTGCTCCTCTTTGCTGTCTTTGATTCTCTTTCTGACTCTAGAAGTGAATTCACGAAATGTATACAATTGTGTTATAACTTTTAAATGTTTTTTTCCAAAAATTAAAAAAATTTATCTTTCTTCTAATTGAAAAATTTTTAACTTACTCAATAGATCTTTACAATGCTATACACAACACGTGACAATATTCTTCAAAATATATTAAGTTCTATATAATGCGTTTAAAAATCATATATTAGAACATAACTATATCTTCAAAAATTATCAATAATTACGACAAAGAGTGATTTTATATTTTAATTTCTCAAAAATAATTTAAAAATATAATCAAATGAGTTACCAAAAAAACATATTACAAATTAAAAATTAATTTTTTTAGAAAAAAAATGTTTAATATGACTGTATAAAAACAATCCTATAATTATTTAACTCTTTGTTGAAAATATGGTATTACAGCGTTTCACAGTTTTAATTTTAATTTAATTTATCATGAAAGAACACCGAATGTACAATACTGATATCTAAAATACAGCTGGTAGCGGATAGAAAAAATAGAGAAAAATGTTGTATGTCAAGATACCGTAAATGCTCTGAAAAATTTGAACTTGCGTAATATTTTTATTTTTCTGTGAAACTTATAAAATGTAATATAATGATTTTCCAGCCATACATTAAATTGTCAGACACTCTGTCTCTTCCGAACCTTATATCAATAACAAACTACCAAAGAAATGAAATATCATAAACAAAGCAAGGCAATGTAACAACAAACGCTTGGTTCAAGCTGTAGGTTTCAGTTCGCGGTGAATCGGCAAACCGAGAGGAGTGTATAATCATTTGTTAAATAAGATTAATAAATTCCACAAACGAAGAGAAAATAATACTAATTGAAAAAGTGAAACGGATAAAATTCATCGTTAACTACACACCGACAAAATGGTATTTATCGATTAAAATATTTAGATATTTGAAAATTATAAAAAGATAAGCAATATGCAAATCAGATTTCCAAATAATGACATAAAATTTAAAAATAACTATTTATCATGCAAATTAATGTGATTGCAGGGCACAATAATGAAAATGATAATAAGTGGTGCTGCAATTACAATGGCCTTTTTAGTAGGATTTGGAGTTATTAATTCTACGATTAAAAAAAAATCTAAATCTTTGAAAATAAATCGTCGCTCCAAGAAACAAAGTGTGAAAACGCGAACAATACAGCAAAATATTGACCAAATTTATTCTATGATGCATAATTCGTATTGGAAGAAAATTGGTATAGTAGAAAATTTGATAATATACCCAGTAAAATCGAGTGAGGAACCAGTGTCTAATGATTCATTTGAATTTCGTGATTATGGAATGTATAGACAGGAACGCGGGATACATTTTTGGGATGGGTAAGTACGAAATCTTATTTTTTTTAATTTTAATAATTTCATGATAATATTCACGCAATCTAAACAAAATAAAGATAAAATAACAAAGTATTATTGTGAAATTTATTCTATTTTATTCATATTTAAATAACTTATAACGGAAAGAAAATTTTTATTACACAATCAGCTGAATCTAATAATTATTATTTACTCCGTTATTAGAATGTTCTTAATATATAACAAGACGAAAGGTAAATTCGAAGATAGCCGAACACATTTTATATTGCGATCAATGGCAGCGACAATAACGGACACTGACGAAGTAACGTTAAGATGCGACGGAATGAAGAATACAGTAACATTGAATATAAATCAATATCTCAATTCTGCCTTTCGTCTTACGAAGGAAACGTGGAATGGAACTTTGGAGACATATTGTATTTCAAATGTAGACATTAATGAATGGGTAAAACAGTAAGTATCCTGTAATCTCTATTAATTTATAATGTTTATCTGAAATCATAATTCTTGTATCTGAATACTAAAAAATCAAAATGTAGAGCAATAGAAACTGCCGAGGATGTAATTTTGGTAGTAATGCTTCCAAGTAATTGGAATTCGACACAAAAAATAAGAAACAATTGGTCCCACTTTATTCAAGGTTACAACACTATGGAAGAAGATGAAACGGTAATTAATATATAGTATTTAATTAATAATAATTATTGATAAAATAAGATCACCAGTTTGTATCAGTTTTTATAGGCACAAATTAGTTTGTTACATGAATCACTGAACCCAAAAGACTAAAATAAAAAGCAGAAAAAAACATTTTTAAACATCAGAGATTAAGCTTACAATACGCTCTGTGCTGTATAATTGCTACAATTAAGTTGAACATTTGTTACATACGTTATTTATTTTATTTTTCGCTGTTTATCTTTTAAAAACAAGATATTCATTAAGATATTGCTCATTGATATAATTACATTCATGACACAAATATGAATTAGTATACTAGAGAAACACGTGCAATACAAATAATTTTTTGATATAAATGTTGCTGAAAATATTTAGTATTAAAAAATACAAATTGATACTAAAGTTGTTAAGCTTATTTGTGACAATAGATCGTTTTAATATATTTTAAAATGAAAAATTTCCGCAAAATAATTGGATGTTTCTTTAGGGAAAATTCATAACTTTACCACGTTTTGTACTGATAACATCAGATACGTATGTAGAGTCACATAGGAGGTATAAGTATTTGGCCCCAAACATTATCATTAACGTTGACGAAGAAGAAATGATAAATCCTTTTGAAGAGAAAAATTGGGAATGGATAAAACTCGGTGACAATGTAATTCTTAGAAATGTCAAACCAGTTCCGAGGTATTTGCACACACTTACATAATTTTTATAGTTATGTTTTATTTATTTTTATTATCAAATCTTTAATTAAAAAGTTTAAAATATAAACTTTAAATATTTATGATATTCATAAAAAAAAAGCTTGATCAATCATGTAAAAAAGATACTCTACTTAAAAATTTTTAACTTTTATTTTAACAAATTAAATTTTAAATTAACATATTATCATAAAACTGTCCCACTTGTTATTTTTCAATCGCATTTAACAAAATGTATTTCAATAATTGAAAATGCAAAATATTTAATTAATTTTATTTTATTTGTATTATTTTGGCAATAATTCTCTATCTATTGATTCTTCTCAATGTTTATTATTTTATCCTTAAATTAAATTAGTTAGCTAGTTAATAAATGTTTTATTTTCATTATTCAGCTGTGATGAAGAAGTCGAACATTTCGGAATTTATTGTGGGTTATGGGAATCTAGTGGAAACGTAAAGGTGGATGATGAAGTATATATTTACTATTCTAATACATAGCACAAGTGTGAAGTGAATATCGTTTAAACATTTAATGTTTAATTGTCATAATAGTTTAATGTTTGGATTAATTAGAATTAATTGATTTTAAAAGAAATAAGTATTGATAAGTCACGTTAATGTATTACAATGTCTGTTGGCAACACATGAAAACCGACCTTAACGATAATATCTTACCGATATTAACATAATTTTATTCTTTATCATCGCTTACGAAATTTAATTTTCCCATAACTTGTTTATTATCTTTATTTCATTGACGAGTTATTTTATATATGTAGAAAACAACGTCTCTGTTAACTTTGTAGAAATATGTATGCTTGACTGTAAAACATTTTTTTCAGAAGATCAGAGCTCTAAATATAAGTTATTATTTGCAACAGAATTTGAAACAAAAATAATATATATAATTTTATGTAGTAAATATTTGTAAATTTAATAAGTAAGTAGTCTTATATAAGTATAAGACAAATAATTCATGTATGTATTTGTATTTATAACATTTTATATATGCCAGTTATTATAAAAATAAGTTATATAAAAATAAGTTATTATAAAAATAAGTTATGTCAAAAATTTTTAAAATTAATTTTATTTTATATTTTATTTAATTTTTAATTTATTTATTTTGTGTTATCTGTAAAATCAGAATAACTCAAGGTAAATAATCAAAATAGATATATGATTTTTATAATCACCAGCAGATATTAAAGTTATATACATATAATGTGTTATACTTTATTTTTTGAATATTATACATAAAATTATATACATATAAAGTTTTAGCTTAAAATTAACAGATGTTTGCATCAAAAAAGGTAAAGAAAGTAAAGCTCAAAAATTCCATTTTATTTAAAAAATTAAAATGTTTATTTTAAATATGTTTTAAATGTAATAATAAAAAAATAATGTCTTTAAAATTTCTTGTTGATTAGTATGTCAGCTTTAGTTATTTTTTAATTTTTTAATCGGCTATTGAATTTTTGAGTTTTCCTAACAATTGACAATTTTCAGTAATTAATATCTTAAAACTTAAAATTACATATAAATGAGCAAATTAGATTAAGCAAATAATATTAGCACATGTCTTTATTAACAAAAATTACTGCAAGATGTAAGTAAATATTTATTAAGTAATCTTTCATTCTGCATTTAAAAGATATTTACTTTTAGTTCTCTACTTTGTAAAAGCGATGATTAGTGTTATTTGATTATAAAAGATAATAAAATAATATTATATGACATAGAAGTTAACAGCGTTGTAGCAGCTGCGAATATAAAATCGATACAAATTTTATATCATGATCTGACCTGCGAAAACATTTTTGAACAAATAAAGTAATTTTTTGCGGTAAAATGAAACAAATGTATAAATGTAACACAAATATGTATTTTTAGCATGTATTTTAGATAAAAATATATTAATGTATTGCTTGAAGAAGTATTTCATTATAATTTTTAATGTGTCACCAATGAACAAATATTATATCTTCGTGGACTGGTTATCTTGCGCGTGTCTAAATTATAATTTTTTAACGATTAGTTAGGCCTTCCAAGTCCTGTGGCCTGGATTATAGAGTCATATCCTACTTTTCATAAAACTATCTTTACTTTATGGCAAGTACTGGAGAACAAAATTATAAGTATAATAACAAAGTCTGATAAATGGATTATAGCCTATTCACAACGAAAGAAATGCAAATGTTTGAAAATAATTTTTAGTAAATTGAACAAGAAGACTCACTAATTGCTGTATATTGTACAACAGGATATTATAGTGTCCATCACGATCGTACGAATTAAGAAAAAATTGAGAATTACTTAAACAATGAGGATTATTCACAAATATACACGTGCTAAATCATGTATAAATTATATATAAACAAATATAAATGCGTTATTCAGGATAAAAATATATTGGGTTAATTAGAAAATTTGTAATAATTTTTATAAAAAAATTGAAAACAATTTTTATATGTTTAGAGTCATCTTCATTTAATAATATATGCACTGTTTGTTTTCAACAACTTTTGGCCATTTTTAACAATTTGTGCACTTATTGCTGAATGAAGATATATAAACATATAAAAATTGTTTACAATTTTATCATAAAAAAATTCTACAAACTTTCCGAATAATTCAATATATCTTGTTCTGATCCGTCAGTCATGAAATATTTAGAAAATGTTCCAGAATAAAATATTCATCAACGCATCTAGCCTATCCATTTTACGATAATGGATCGAAGAAATAGTGTACTTTTCATATTTTTACTTCAAGTATTCTTGTGACACATAATTAAATTTATTTAAAGTATTTTTGTAACACATAAGTAAATTTAATATAAATTAATTAAAAAAATAAATACTTTGTTCTTTTAAAAATAAATGCACAAACAAATATATGAAATAATTGAAAATATTTGAAAAAATACGTCACAATAAAATTTTGATATAATTATAATATTATAAAGCGATAAAAATTATATAATCTACAAAGTGTCTCGAAAGTATATTTTTACACTATTGTTCCACTATCTTAATAATAAAAGACAAATTAGACGAACTCACCGATCGATGCGCAGCAGCGGAGTTGTCGTTCTGCATAGTTGATAATCTGTAAAATACGAAAACAAATCAAGATTATAATTGCGTTCAAAATAATGAATATTTATCAAATCATAATTGAGTACATTGAACTTTTAATTCTTTTAATTCTTTTTAATTCTTTTTCTAAGTAAATATGTAATAAAATAATTATTTAAAAAAATTTAATTATTTAAATAAGAAGTGAAAAATTTTAATAATAATGAATATTAACTAATGTAAATATATTATGGAATATTTTAAGTCTCTTAATGTACAACATTTTCAACAAATAAATAGATTATTATTTATCATAAAGTTGCTCCTCCAAAGTTGAGCCTCCTCCTTCTCTCAGTCCTCACAGTTTTTGCAGCCCTCGCAGTTTTTCAAAGCACTCGCACGCGATCACAACGCAAATAATTTTTACGATAATTCTTTTAAACACTTAAACGCGACGCATGCATTGCATGCGTGCGTTTTTAAATACGAAAAGTAATTTTAGAAAAAAATGTTTAAAAAAAGGTATAACTAGGTATTTAGGTATTTAGGTATTTAAGGTATAAAAGGTATTTAGGACTAAGGCCTTGATAACATATATCAAGGTCAAGATCACTAGAAGGTAGTTTCTTATTCTTCAGTTTTACTAAAAGTATTATTATAAAGTATTTTTTGGTAAATTTTAACAATAAAAAATTATTTTTCTGTATAACAGGGTATTATCGCGTCAGTTATAATATTGACAATTGGATAAATCTTGCGAACTATTTGTACTATGAAGATTATACCAAGATACATGTTCTCAATCGAGCCCAAATCATCGATGACGCGTTTCATTTTTGGATGCAAAGACGACTCAGTTTCGTTATGTTTTCGAATATTACAAGCTTCCTATTTAAAGATACAAACTACATTGCATGGTATCCTATGATTAAAGCTGTTGAATACATGTCGTGTGTCTTTCCAATGATTGAAGGTAATCACATAGTAGCAATGGTAGGTAATGGTAAATTTTTCTCTACAAGAAAGAATAGTTATCATAGCATTCTATATAAAAAAGTTTCAGTATAAATCTGTATATATGTAAATATACATCTATTTTTTCGAAAATAACAATAAGTCTAAAATTCCTGTTATTTAACAATTTTTAGAAACAAGCTAAAATCACGTTCAATAAACGTTCTGCAAAATATAGGATACTATGACAATGCTACCGATAGCGATTATATTATATGTTTAAGAGAAGAAGCGATAAAAGGATATTTTTAATATTTTATTTCTACCCTCCTCTTCCTTCTCCAATTCCCGCTGATAACGGCGTCATTAACGGCCAGAAAAATAAGAAAGAGGTGACAGTGTCGATGCCGGTGTAGCGTGCCATTTTCCATAGCAGTTCCGACAATGTATTCTACTTCCGATGATACGACGCTTCTTCTCTTACCGCTGAAAATCGCATCGATGTAGCAAGGATGACGCAACGTCAACCGTCGGCGGCCGACGGTGTAAATGTCGGTGTCAGTTTACGCCAATCCTTTAATCGAGTACTATATTTAGATCTTTTTCACTTTCAATTTTTACTTTGTTTGATTTTATTTTAAAAATTATGTGTGTAATATTTTAATTAATTTATAAATTATTTCTTAAATTATTTTGATTTCCTTATTGTAAAAATCATACATTTAAAAAAGCATAATATCTATTAAAAGAACACGCTGCAAAAGAGTCATCCATGGAAATTTTATTTTTTATAGGTGATAACTCCCGTTTTTTTGGGCTCGATAGAGCTTTAAAGCTTTCTACCTGTGAGCCAAATTGTTAACGTTATCTTATTTATTTATTTTTCTTTTTACATTGATTCCTTATTTCATAGAAAAACAAGTATTATTAATAATGGATGGAAAAAGAACGTAAGCATGTAGAAATATTTTGATCAATTTTTGATGAATTTTTACAACTTTTAATAGCATGGCAACAAATGTTGTCTTTTTCCATGTTTTTTTATATTTTATATCATCAATAATGTTACACTATATGCACACTATATTATTTGATCACTTTATTTGAATCATAAATCTTATCCGTACTTTTCACAAATTTAAAACACTTGGTATTCGTTGCTGTCCTACAATGTAAACGCGGTCAAATTAAACGCTTGGTGCGCACTACTTTTAATTACTTAATTAACTTTTAACTACTTAATAAATTTCATATAACTCAATTTATATATCAGTTATTTAAGTATTTCAAATCTTTGTTTCTAGTCCTTCGAATATGTTTTTTTGTGGATTTTAGTCTTATCAGACAGATTTTTATTTTACATTATTTTTGTGAAATCTTGCTAAGATTGAACAAATATTTTTATTATAGTAGGTGGTATCTTGGGGTGGTAAATCGTGATCATAGAGGATTCCCGGGTCCTTCTTCGTCACGCTTGCGCAATCGGAGGAACGTACGTAGAGCGCGCGGCTATATAAAAGCAACCACTTGTTGGACGACACGCATTTCGCCGATTCGCTTCCGCCGCGGAATATATTCTGCTCGAAGACGAGAAAGGGAGTCGCGGGTATCCGACAAGTGATCACGACGATATTTCCTGTATCGTGCGACTTCAAGTCACATCCCCCAGTCCAATTCGTCACGTATCGAGTTATCGACGTGAGACTTCCGACCCGATCAGCTGATAACGGACAATCCAAATTAACACATATCGAAAAGTAAGTTAGTTTTGTGTGTTTTTTAAATGTACATGCAAGTACAAATGTATATGCAACTTGTAAAAACATTTTCAATTCATAAACTCTGTCATGAATATCATTAAACATTGAAGGCAGGAATCTATCTGTAAAGCTAAGAATATTTTTAGAGTGTACTCGTTACTTTTATTATTAGAAAAAAACAGAAGTAAAAACATAGATAAAAGTATTTGTATAATAAAATAATAATTTTGTAATAATTACACGTATAACTAATCATGGCAAGAATTAATTTTCAGCGAATAAAATTCGTTGTTACTTTTCTCCTTATTTTTGCGCGTCAATAGTAGTTTTCGAAAATAATTCATACTTAAGAGAATTTGCATTCAAAAACTACATATTTTGACTTTTGCATTTAAAAATGCAACATTTTTAATCATCCCTATAATTTAGATAAAAATGGTATTTTGATTATTGTATACTTTGACAAATATTTATAACAATTAATGACTGAACATCCCTTAGTTGTAATTTGGATTTAAAAAAATTATTGTGTAATAATTTATTGAACATATTGAAATATGTGCGTTTGTAGCATTTGTCGAATTTATTTATACGGTCGAAAGAAAATCGATTCATCGCGATTTACATAAATGTTACGTAGTAATTCAATCTGCGATGCATTCCGTGATGCAGAATCAGATAATTAATTGTGGAATTCGAGTGATCGTTTCATCGAGATGTAAGCGATATATTTATCAGTAAATAAAAAATGTATCGTATATCTGTAAACAAGCTCGCATTGATGTTCAGCTAAATAATGTTATCATATAAAACTGATATTAGCAGTATCATTTTAACACTTAATTTGTTCTTATCAATATTAAAATAATAAATAAAGTTACATACGCGTTAAATCTTGAAAAGATAGTTTTCTTTAATATTGAATAAATTGCACATTTATGGTCTGTCAAAGAAAGAAAACATTATTTTACAATTTCTATAAACAGAAACAGTTCAAATACTTATCTTTCAATATCTCTATATACTTCTCAAACTCCTAATCATTTAGTATTTTCAAAATTTTTATCTACACTTAATAGAATGCGAAAACGATACACAAGAAAAAGTGTACGACGTATAATCTACGATCACTTATGACGTGATACTCTATAATGTGTGTGTGTGTGTCTATCATATATAGATAACAAAATATATGTATGTACAAACTAATATTGAGAGAAATCGTCTTTGCTAGAAAGAAACTTGTGAGAATGCAACTATAGAGAAATTATCTCTCTCATTTAAAAAATACCTTTTTGGGTGTGTATTCAAAATTTGATCTAATATGATTTAATGCACATCGGATTACTCGCTAAATAATAGAGCGCTGTTGGCCTAACTGGCACTTACTGGCATTTTCTTCGTTGAATCGTGAATCATTGGCGGAGAATCCGCGGGCGGCCGACGGCGTCGCGGATAAATCCCTCGGCAAACCGCGCGACGGCAGTGAAAGCTACGGGAAATTACAAAAGTCGGAAGCGGAAACGGAGGAAGGACGAGCTTTTAATATCGCCGGGCGTCATTCTGGCTTCAGATCCTCGCTATTGCCTGCGACCGGTTCGATTTTCTGTTTTATGCTCGACTCGCGATTCTTTTCGCCTCCAGGCAAGGATCGTCTCCTCGAACTCACGATCTTGATCTATCTGTGACTAAACTTGCGTATTTTGATATAAAGTTTAACTAATTTGTTCTACACTAATTTGTTCACCAATTTTGACAAGATACAGTATTAATATATAAATAGTTTTGCTCGCTTAATTTTATGAGAGCAGATTATATTTTTCTCGCACTATTTATAGATTTTATAAATGCTTTTGATCTCGCAAATTATTTATTCCGCTTCAGCTATCAACATTTTTAAATGAGATGAATAATTTATAACGTAATTATTTATAAACTTGAAATATTTTACTTTTTATAAAAAGCTTTACTAATAAAATGTAATGATATGAAAGTTTTAACGAAATTTTTATAAAATAAATAATATTTTCTAAAATAAATTATTAGAAACCAGCTACAGAGCCAAAGCTAGATTACGTGCTTAGTTTATTGACTTATTATAACAATTATAATATGTTCCGAATTGACCTAAACAATGTTTTATATATTTAATGTAAGAATTAACGAATAACTACTGAAGATGACCACATCCGAATGGTTAAAACGTTAGAATTAGATCTTTATAATTTGTTATAATTGTTATAATAAGTCAATAAACTAAGCACGTAAATCTAGCTTTGGCTCTGTAGCTTGTTTCTAATAATTTATTTTAATAATTTGAGCCAAAATTGTAATTTTTAAGTTATAATATTTTCTACTTTATTTTATTGTTTAACAAGAAAATAAGATTTTTAATACAAAAAAATTTATTTAAGAAGATTTAAAAAAATTATCTAACTTCCGGCTTTAAAAAGAATTAATATCCAATGTAATTATAACTGTTGAAGAGATATTATCCGTTGCGTATCTGAGTATAATCGATAATGAAATTGTTAATATCCGTGTGCAATTGAGTTCAATCTTATTACAAATTATTACGTAACATTTAACGTTCTCTTAAGTACCTAACATTTAATGCTTTCATATATTAATTGTTTTTAACGTTTTTAATAATTTAATGTCTAACATAAACTAATACATATAGTTCGGCGATTAAATAATAAAATTAATGTTTGTTTAGAAAAATAATTATATAAAATTGTTTTGAATAAAATGCATCTATCCAACATCGATCAAGAAATAGTTTTAATTATTAGTTATATATATATAACTAATAATTAAATTATTTTTTAAAAGTTCTGTTAAAATACTTTCCTTGCAAAAAGCTCACCACAATTGTGTATCCCTAAAATCATTGAAAAATTTTATTTCAACAATTTCAGTTTTGAAAAAGTAATCATAGGAAAGCAATCGGTAGAAATACGCAATACAACGCAATATACGTAAATAAACAAACACTTTTATTCCGATTAGAAAGTTGAAATTGAAATTGTTGGAGATAAGCGTATTGGAGAGAAGCGTAACTTCTATTAAAATCTATACTTATACATGACAGTTAAATGCGTCATTATTGTTAGCGAAGACTTATAAGAGAACCGTCACAAGTGTCTGACGCCGATTTGATTTTCCTTCCTAAATATGTTATAAAGCATACAATTTTAGATAACACGTATTTTTTTATAACGGCCCAATCGAAGATTTAGGGGGTGATACACTCCTTGAAAAAAAAAACAGTTTTTTTCTTTCTATGTGAATATCGTCAAAACAGTAAGAGATATAAAAAAATGTTTCAAATAAAAGTTGTTGCTAAAAGGTATTGCATTTCCTCCACATTACACACTTATAAATAATGGCTGCGTTTCGTGCGAAGCGTGTTGTCATATGCAAATTAGCTATCAGCACATATTACACTTTGAAGTACCGTTTATACTGCGGGAAAATAATATATGAAACAAAAACAGTGAATAGTAAATCAATCAATCTATTCAACATATATCCATTCCACCCTGACTCTACCCTCTTGGCCCGACTTGACTGATAATGAATTGAAATATAAAATTGATTGATTCATTTACTATTCACTGTTTTCGTTTCATATATTATTTTCCCGTAGTCACTATAAACGGTACTTCAAAGTGTAATATGTGCTGATAGCTAGCATATGACAATGCGCTTCGCACGAAACGCAGCCATTATTTATAAGTGTGTAATGAAAGGAGGAAATGCAACACTTTTAGCGACAACTTTAGTTAATTTTTTTTCTTCAAATGTGATAACAATAATGCCATTTTTACTTATCGACTATTGCGCAACACAAGCACGGCATAAACGATACAACATATAGTGTGACATTGATGACTCATTACTGAAACATGCGATTTCGAAACATAAAATCATATATGGTTGAATAGTTTCAGCGTAAAAAATGCTACAACTTTTGTCCTTGCAAAAATTTTGAAATTCGTAAAAATAATAACAAAAGGTGGGGGTAAATTAAAAAATTTACCATTTTTTTTAAATCCAGCTGCGCGGTTATAAAGCCCACAAATGACCATACGACTTTTATTCAAAACATTTTTTTTTATATCTCTTACTGTTTTGACGATATTCACATAGAAAGAAAAAAACCGTTTTTTTCAAAGAAATGTATCACCCCCTAAACCTTCGATTGGGCCGCTATAAAAAAAATACGTGTCACCTAAAGTTGTATGCTTTATAACATATTTCAACATAGGAAAATCAGATCGACGTCGGACACTTGTGACGGTTCTCTTGTTAGTGACGAGCGATCTGGTTCTAGGCCGTGACGAAATCTTAAGAAGCGGCCATATGATGCTAGTACGATCGATGATGAATCCGTAGAAATTAACGACGAACCTGCATCGCGAATTTTCATGCTAGGTCAACGTCGCTCACTCTTCTATAATCACGTATCGGCGACACCTGTGTATAAAAACTACGTTGTGAGTGACGTCTTGTGTGGATTTTACTAGAAAATTGTCCGCAGTTTTCTCCAATTCAGATTTCTGTATCTTCATAATATTATCGCAATTATTGACTGACGCGGAATTAGAGTGCGCAATACTTAAATTAGTGTGCAGCTTGTTGTGACTTGTGAAAAAATCATCACATGCTATCAAAAAGGTACAATCGGCAAATCATTATAAAAATGACATAAATTATAATTACACTTTTAATATAAATTATTATTTTTATTGTTATACACAACAATTTTGAATAGCAATGTCATTATCTTTGAACTATAGCAATGTTTCTCTAAGGAAATATCGCATTTGACATTTCGCAGTTATATTTTCTGAAATCTTTTGTTTGTACCATTCGATTTTTGCTGTCAATCAATTACAATATAAAGATTTTCTGTAGGATTTTCTATAAGCAAAGAAAATTAATTTTTTTTCACACAATTGTATTGTTACATTTATATTTAAAAAAACTCTATGATTTCTTCATGATATTTTATGTGCATCGTACGTGCGCGCGGATGTGTATGTGTGTGTGTGTGTGTAATATAAAAATTAAATAATAAATATTATGTTTTTTGTATTTTTGTCTGTTGCAGGTAGAATGAATCTGGATGAATATCGCAAACATGGTAAGTAAATATAATTATAGACGTAATATAAAAAATAATATGAGCTGGCGTGATTATTATTATTGGATCCCCCCTATACTTTGATTTTATTGATATTCTAATTGATATTTTGATTAACATAACATAAAATTTGTACTTTATAATATTTTACATAGATAGAGTAAAAAATAAAAACTATTTAAACCAAAATTTAAAGCTGGAAGATTTGATTACAATCTCACTGATATGTGAATCAGTGTAAATCTGAATCAAAGTACTATTGTCAAACGAATAAATCAAGCTATTTCCGGACAATAATCGTACAACACTGAACCGGCATCAATAAATAGAGATCACCGGTAGAATTGTTGGAAAGACTTTATAGGTGCGATATTGTTTCCGATACGACATCGTAACGTTGCAATTTAAATCTTCGAACTACGGCGTGACTTAAACTTGCTTTCCTATTGCTGTTTCAATTTCACGCGATCATTCAATTGACCTGTTTAAATAAATTACAATTGACAATGCAATCTGGGATTATTCAGCCATTAATAATTGTACTAATAACATTAATAATAAATAAAATAAAGTTTTTTTTTCAAAAACATCTACGACTAAATTTTGTAATAGAAGAACAGTTTTAGAAAACTGTTTCTTTTTGTTTGCTAGAAAGTACAGTTCTCAGTTAGGACATCATATGTCAGAAAAGGTGATTACGTTTTCTATACAACTATACATTCTCCAACAAACAAAGAATCACAATGTTGTGTGAAATAGGGTGTAACCTTTTAGAATGTCGATTCTTCTTTAGTATAGAATAGTCTCTTGATACCTCTTTTGTTTCTGTTTAATCGCTTTTAACCACAGATAACGACAAATGCGTTGAATCTAAGAGGATTCGCAAACTTAATTTCTACAGTTTACTTACTGGTAATTTTAAATTTTAGTATGTTAGCATTTGTCGGTTTAAAAAGTTTACGATAAATAAGTCAATGTTAAATTAAGAAAATTCTAATGCTGAAGTACGTTTAAAAATATCTTTTTATAATTATGATAAAATTAATCAATACGGTTTTTTGTAAATATTATTATTTAATAATTATTAATTAACGCAGTAGCAAGGTTTTATTTTCTCAAGTGTTTAAAGAATTAATTTGCAATTTATAAACTAAGATGCATAATTGATAAAAGAATATGTCTTGTCTAAACATTCTCCTTAAACGTTAACGATCTGAGATAATCGTAAACATTTGAAAATTGCAAAAAGGAAAGGAAATGGTGGATTACATCGCTGATTACTTGGAGAATATCCGTTCTCGGCGCGTATATCCAGCAGTCTCACCGGGATACTTAAGAAATGTCCTGCCGACGTCGGCCCCGGTCGACGGCGAACGCTGGGAGGATATATTCGCCGACATTGAGAAATGCATTATGCCGGGTGTGACGCATTGGCAGAGTCCACACATGCACGCTTACTTCCCAGCCCTGAATTCACCTGCCAGTCTGCTAGGCGACATGCTGGCTGATGCTATAAACTGTTTGGGTTTCACGTGGGTAAGTACAATCTCGCATACTTATTTCTTACAAGGAAGGTTCGACAATCCGAATTTTTTTAAAAATCTGAAACTTTGCAAAAATGTAATACATATAAATCTAATAAAAAAGCTATTTTTTTGTTTTACAAACAAAAGGCTTGAACAATTTCTTTATTTTATTATTATTAAATAATAAAATTTTTTTAATTAAGCAGTTAGTGGAAATATTTTTAAATTTTTTATCATAATGTTAAAGGCTATTAAAAACCTTAATATTTTGTATTTAACATTTTTTTCAATATTTCTTATGGTTTCAAAGATAAGCAAAAATATTAAAAAATCGGATTTTCTTTGGGTGTTTTTAGAACCGTTTTTTAACCAAAATAAAAAATAGCTTTTTGATTAGATTCATATGTATTATATTTCTACAAAGTTTCAGATTTTTTAAGAAAATTTGGGTTGCCAATTTTGATATGATTTTAAATTTAATACGATTATTTATATAGGCTTCCAGCCCGGCGTGTACCGAATTGGAAACAATTGTTATGAATTGGTTGGGCAAAATGATCGGCCTTCCCGAAGATTTTCTGCATTATCCAGGTAGCTCCGGCGGCGGTGGTGTTATTCAAACAACAGCATCAGAAGCTACGTTGGTGTGCTTGCTGGCAGCTAGAACTCGGGCTATCAGGGATGTGCAGGAAAACGATCCTGAGTGTTTGGCGACAGAAATCAATTCGCGACTAGTCGCTTACTGCTCAGATCAGGTCTGTAGTCGTTTATATAAGAAGCTTAAAAACGTATTTGTGAGATAAAACAAGAGTATAAATTCTTGCGATGCTTTATTTAAAAATATACGACGACTGGGAGTAATCACGTAAAAGTAGCAAGAAAAGAAATATCAATGGGAATAATAAATATATTGTGTACTATGGCAAATAGAAATCTCAAAGCGTTCCTTTGAGAAATTTTCAAAGCGCACTTAAGAGATACATTGAATAGATGAAAATGTACTATTCGCACAACTGGGACAAGTTTCTTCTTGATTGCTGAACTATTTTGTTATAAATTTGTTTCTTGTAGAACGTAGATGAAATAATCTTTGCTTATTGCAAAATGTTTGGCTTGTTTTCTTAATTTAAGAAGCAATATTTATAAATGTAACATTACATATCAACATTTTTAAAGATTAATATTTCAAAAAATCGAATTTTAAAAAATTTATATTTTGACGTACAGTAAAATAATTTAAAAATCTCCAATTTTAGAGAAAATTTAACTAGAGCCCGGAGAATAATTTGTTTACTTTTAAAATAAATTCAATAATTTTTATTCAATTGCGCATTACTTATTCTTTATGTCATTGTTGTTATTTGTTCGACAGGCACATTCAAGCGTAGAAAAAGCTGGACTTATAGGTTTGGTTCGAATGCGATACATCGAATCCGACAGTGAATTAAGCATGAGAGGAGATGCTTTACTCGAAGCATTAACTCGCGATCGCGCTGAAGGTCTACTTCCTTTCTTCGTAAGTTTTATTGATGTCTTACTTATTTTTCATAAATCTAGATTTGTAATATTTAATCCATATTTGTATCCACATAATATCTTATAAATGCAAGCCTAATTATCATTAGATATCATTGGATATATTTCATTTATAATTTCTAAATTATTAACTTTTTATGCATATTATAATTAAGCATGTTAATGCATTCATTTGTTGATAATTTTATTTTTATATTAGATGATATATTGCATTGCTTATTTATATTTATTATTTATAAATTATTGTCTTCATAATGACTGACTTTTCTATATATTTTCCGTACTTTTGTTAGTTATTTGCTATATATTTTTAAAATTTATAACATTTTTAAAAATTGTTAACAATACAATTATAGTAAATTGTGACATAGCAGATAGCGAGCAGCATAGAATAAGTAAATTTGCGGATAGTTACCAACGTTGCACCATGAGCGCACAAACTAAAGTAGTCCGACCGGCCAATTATATAGGTGTATTCTTTGCAAGTAGAAACAAACGCGGTCGGGCGAGGTAAGCCGGATCAACGTAGCGCTAGTTAGTCCCATAGGACCTTCTTAGTCCGATTGGAGTCTTGCGAGTCAGTTTGCAATGAAAAATATTTTATATAATCGAGATTTTCTGCAATGGAATAATATTTTCTCTAGATTTATTTCGCCAATTATATGTCTTCTATGATAACAGATGTATGATTAATAGACAATGCTATGAACCTCTTCACGTAAATTCTATCTTTAGAAAGAAAAAAAAAATGACAATACGCTTAAAATTAATGAGTTAGAAAAAAAATTGGCTCTCAAATAAATTACTTGAGTTACTATATAGTTAAATAATTTTATTATAATACATTTCATATTATGTAATTATGTATTATTATCATAAAAAGTTTGCATTTTTTAATATAAAAAATTTCTTGATATTGTATTATTTAAACAAATGTTTAACTTTGTTATAAAAAAATTATTTAAAACAGTTCCTTCTTTATGCGATATAATGATTTTGTTATCTGCATAGGTATGTGCAACTTTAGGCACTACTGGTGCTTGCGCTTTCGATAACCTCAAAGAAATTGGACCGATATGTAAGTATCAAATTCATTCAAAATTATATTAAATGCGCTTTCGAATCTTCAGATTCTTCAAATGCTAAATTTTTTCTACAAAAATATATTTTAAAATGTTATGATAGTTTGTAAATGTTTTAGGTCAAAAGAACAGTTTATGGTTGCATATTGATGCAGCCTATGCAGGCAGTGCTTTCGTATGTCCTGAATTTCGTGGTTGGCTTCAAGGAGTCGAGCACGCCGACTCAATTGCTTTTAATCCAAGTAAATGGCTCATGGTCCACTTCGATTGTACAGCTATGTGGTACGTGCAATGTTACAATAAAACTATCCTTTTTATCAGTTATAAACATTAATAGGTTGTTTTCGATTAATTTAACAATTTGTATATTTGCACAAAAATATGAAATTCATGTTTATTCCTAATTCAGATTTATCAATGTCACAATTTGTAATATTTTTAAAGTATACTAATGTTTTATAACACGTAATTAACTTTCGTGAAAATAAGCCACGTGCCTTGCAAAATTATCTATCGTTCCTCGATTTTCTTTTTATTAGTTGAACTGCCGAAGGCACAGTCATCTTTTTCCGTTCCTTCCGCAATTTCCTTTCGAGACCGTTACGATCGAACGCAACTCACAATCTTTCGGAATATTATTTGAATTGCGTTTAAAGTTGATAGCATGGAATAACGATTTATAGCATGGAATAATGATTTATGAAATTTTTTTATCGTTCTGCATTGCAATGTATTTATTAGAATGCATTTGCTTTCACAGTTTTTTGTACAGTTATCTAATAAAATAGTAGGAATCATATAAACTGTACTATATTTTATTAAATTGGAGATTATGGTAAAATAATTTAATAAAATAAGAATGCAAACCGGTATAGAATAATTACGTTTTAAAAATGCGTTCAAAAATATTTGCGATACGTACCCAAAAATTTGTGTCAATATAATTATCGCAATAGTTAAGAATAAATATCGCGTGTGCACATTTTGTGAAAAACTCATTTATGCTTCCGTTAATAACGTGTGTGCAGATTTCGAATAATTGAATAAAATACGGTGGAAAGTGAATTACAAGCTGAAAAAGCACATTCCAATATTCATCAAAACGTTGCATAAATAACCAAAGAAAAGATCAGGTATTAATTAATTTTTCCGCGATATGCGTTATTTCAGGGTGAAAAACAGCCAGGCGTTACACAGAACCTTTAATGTGGATCCGCTGTATTTGAAGCATGAAAATACAGGTAATTTTATAATTTAATAGATTTCCCAATAATCGTTAAAAAAACCAATGTCTTTTATATAAAATTATGCGAGCACAGAAAGTTTTATTTGTTTCCTTTTCATAAAAACATAAAGTTTGTATGTATGTATAAAGATGTTAAAAAATTAAATTTTTTAATTTATTTGTTGATATAAAAATTAAACACACAAAGATTAAACAAGTATTTTACAGAGACTAAGCAATATTGTAAAATAGTATAACTTGTTTACGCAGTTCTATTGTACTAATTTCATTTACTAATAATAAAAAAATAATTATAACATATGACTTTCTTAACAGGTCTTGCAATTGATTACATGGTAAGTAATGTTCTCTAGCTATTTTATAATAATGTGTTATAAAATAAAAATTATTTAGAAAAAGCAAATTAATAAAAAAAATTTATCTTTGTACATTAAATAAACTTTCTAATGTTAAATAATTATTACAATAAATAAGAAAGGACAAAAGAGCCGTAACCAGTTGTTCGTGTCAAAAAAAAAATCGTATATTATAAAATTATATTTTATGTGTCGACGATGGACTTGTCTTGCGTTGAAGCAGTTTGCGGTGCGTTATGTTAATTGTTCGGATGTTTGATTTTGGCGCCTATTTATAACGTGGAGCTAGGAAAAACACTTGCGTTGCGTGAGCAAGCGAGCGAGCGTATATGTAAATAAAAAAAAAACATCAACGTGTGGTTAGGTTAAGATGGCTGAGCGCCGATTCACGTGTTTCTTTTTGAGTTCTTAGAAAAGATTGTTCCATTATCATTTGTATCAGACAGTTACTAATAAAGACACGTTACTAATAAAGTTATTGAGAATTAACTGAGAAGCTGGTTTTATAAGATAAAACGCCTGTAAAGAGCCGGGATCGCACGGACGCAAACAATAAACTGAGAAGAGTGGCGTCTGTGACAAAGAACTACAACCTCAAGAGTTGTAGTTTCGTACATTAATTTTGCGTGCAACATGTGTTTCTTAGATTTCCACGCATTTATGTGTAAGCTAATTAAATGTTTTGTTTAATTTAATGTGGCACTGAGAGGAAGGCCTGGTGACAGGCAGAAACGTTTGTAATTAACGAACTATTGGCTCTTTTGCTCCTTATTTATTGTGATTATTTAATTATTAGTGCCTTTAAAATTTTTATTTAAATAATTTTATTTTTAAATAGAGAACAATATATAGATCTGATAGTTATATTTGACTTTATTTTAGCACTGGCAGATTCCTCTATCAAAAAGATTTCGGGCACTAAAACTATGGTTCGTTATCAGGAATTATGGAATTACTGGTTTGCAGAAACATATACGAGAAGTAAGTAATAAAAATAAATATGCATATTTATATTATATTATATTCAACATTGATTGATGGAATACAAATATTATTAAATGAAGAAGTCATTTGTCACGTAACTTTTATTATTGGTGATAGCGTTACAAAAAGTTTTGTTTTAAATGCGTCTTATTTCTTTCTGTGCGTATTTTACTGTTAATGCTTTATCACACATACTGTTCATACTTAAAATTATTTAGCGTCTAACTAGTTTTTATTTCATTATAATATTAATATGCATATATAAGCTTAATACATATATGTATATATATGTTCACAGGGCGTGAGGTTAGCACAAAAATTTGAAGCTTTAGTCCTGGCCGATGCTCGTTTTGAAATTCCTGCTTCGAGGCATTTGGGTATGGTAGTTTTTCGTCTTCGTGGTGAGAACACTTTAACAGAACGTTTGCTGAAGAAGCTTAATTCACGGGGTCGATTGCATTGTGTGCCAGCCGCCTTACACGAAAAATATGTCATCAGATTTACGGTCACTTCGACAAAGTATATTTACATTTCAAAATGTTTATTTTTTATAGTAACAAATATGAATCAATTTATAATTTTCTACAAATAAAACTTTGGTATTTTTTTTTGTATGATCTAAAAACGTACTGTAAAACCTATCCAGAACAGTACTATATATTTTTAAATATATTTGATATTCAATATAATTATTGAAAGCATTTATTGGATTTAAAAATTTTTTTTAATATAATCTTATTCTTTTAGTACCACGAATGAAGACATTGTAAAGGATTGGGCAGAAATACGAAATACTGCAAATGAAATATTAGGTGATACCTCCGCACCTATAGCTAGAGCTAGAGTTCCTCTCGCAGGTAATAACGAGATAGAATTTGGTTTTTTTTTCTTTTTTTCAATTGTGATTTACTAATAAACTAATTGCAATATCAGACTACGGTTTGCGGCACAAGCCAGCACAAGCCTAGCACAATCTAGCACAACCGTTGTTTTTTTCGTTTTTCAAAATGACGGTGCTACAATTTTTTTTTCAATTGCGATTTGCTAATAAACTAATTGCAATATCAGACTACGGTTTGCAGCACAAGCCAGCACAAGCCTAGCACAATCTAGCACAACCGTT